AGTGGGTGTTTCTTTAACCCTTTTGCTGCCAAGGACGTATGGCATACGGACCTACAAAAGTGCTTCCAGCTGGCCAGCTCCGTATGCCATACGGACCTGGCATTTACAGTTCTACTATAAGCTGATGGTCGCTTTAGAGGCTTCTCATTCATTGAGTGCTGGGGCTGCAATTTTTCTATTTCAAAAGGGAAATGTCAGGGGTCTATTTAGACCCCAGATATTTCGCCGCAGCCCCCCCAACAGTAAAAAAAATAAAAATAAAAAATTATTAAAAAATAAATAGAAAATGTAAAAAAAATAAAAATGTAAAAAATAGATAAAATAAAAAAATGTGTACAAAAAAAATAATAAAAAAAAGCACAACCCCTCCCTCCCCCCACATAACATACACATATTGAGGTGTACGCCATGCACATGCGCTGCAGTGCGTTGTTAGAACGCATCGCAGTGCATGATTTTTTTAATGTATTTTTTTCTTTAAAAAAAAATTAAATTAACTGTGGCAGCGCATGGCAAAGCTTTGTGACGCATTGCCATGCGTTGTGATCTTTGTGTTGCAATAAATATACGCCTGTATCATTTTATCACAACACAAACACCAACACAGCGTGAAATTTTTTTTAACATAAGTTGCTTATTTACAGTTTTGCGTACCGTAATTTTTTTACCTTTTCGCAAAAAGGCGCAATTTCAAATTTGCAAATATTTGTTATTTATTAACTCAATACAGTTTTATCTTTTAGATTTAGTCAGAAAATTATTATTTTTTGTGCGCTGATACTGATTTTAGTGTGTTTTATCAATTGAATTGTGTATTTTTATCGGTTTAATATTAATTTGAGAAACATTTGCGCAATTATCGCAGGGCCTACAAATTTAGTATCACCATCTTTTTATTCTACCGGGCCTGCGCTTTCAGAAAATATATGGTTTGGGGGGTCTTTTACAAACGCTAGCAACGCAGCAGTTGAAAATCAAATCAATAGGAAAAAATTGCAGAAAATTCAAAAATGGCTTGGCCAGCTGATTTGAAAAATGTTCCGGAGGGCTTGGCAGCGAAAGGGTTAAAGGAGAAAATCAGTGCATTAAAATCAGAGGTTTTAGTTGCACAAACCTTTGGCCAAAAATATGTAGAAGCCACACTGCCGCGCCAAGGCACCTCTGCAAAGTGTGGTCCCAACTCCATGTATCCAAGAGTCTCCAAAAGTTTGTGCAACTAAAACCTCTGATTTTAACGCATACTGTTGACAGGGCTATTTGTTTGGTTGCAGGCTGGCTGGCAGGTTGAGGCTGGGGAATTTCTGTGGTTTGTATTGTTGTAAGCCTTCCCAATGTGCGCCCTGCTATAAAGGCTGGTTATAGATTCATGCATGTACCATCTTTTCTACTTTTATGTGACTGCCAGAACCCCAGACACAGTGTTTGATATGGAGTAATTAAATGTAACCAATAGCAATGCCACTTTTCTGTGTTAATTAAATTAAAAACTTATTGGTTGTTATGGGTTACTGCTGTTTGCCCTGCTTTATTATATATGGATACAAGCTTTAGCACACTTAAAGTAGTATTTAATCATAAGAGGAAAACACATTATTTTCCTCTTTAGCAGCACATTAAAATATATTATTGTCAGTTCCTTTATATCTACTTTGCCCCAAAGATTCACTTTTTCTCTCCTAATGCTCATAGTCAGGTGGTCAACTCATGGCTTCCTGTGATCCCTTGCAGCCCGCCTTTTTGAATGCCTGCCTGTTTGAATTTTCTGCTACTTGGCTTTGCGACGCCCATCCATGTCAGCTCACAGTCCTAGCCGGTAGTACACATGTGAGGGTGGCTGCCGGGAGCCCATGCAAGGCAACGGAGCCACCCTATAGGCAGAAACATAGTGAATGTAATTTTTTGATTAATGACTGTCCTGGAGAGAGTTGGTAGAAAGAAAAACTAAAAACACAAAGGTATGCAAATAAATATTTGATTCAAAGATAAAGTTGAGATTGGTTTGGTACTGAAAAGGAAATTAAGACAACTATGTTTTTATTGTGGTTAGCAGTCTCTCGAATTCTAGGTGATATTTTCACACACTTACACAAGCACATGATACTGATGCAGTATGCGTCGGTGTTGGTAAGTATGATCAATAATGCTCCATGGCATTTAACAGAAACCTTGTGCCAAAATTATGAAAATATGTTTTTGTTTTTTTTTGGTTAATCAACTTTTTATTACTTTTCCACTTTAGTAAACATACATACAGTATATCCAATTAACACTTTATGACAAAGAAAACAAAATCACAGCATACTTTAAAAAAAACCCCACACAATTCTTAAAGGAGAACAATGGGGTTAGGGCTTTTCCACATAGTTCTCCTTAGGGTAATGGGAGAGGACATAAACTAGCGCCCTCCCGTCACCCTAAGCTCAGTATACCGCAAGCTACAGCTCGCGGTACACTGAGACGCCCAGTATACCGCGAGCTACTGCTCACGGTATACTGAGACGCCGCAGCTGAAGTGGATCCCGACAATTATGTCTGGATCAGCCCAGCTGGGTGAGTGACAGCTGGCTCTGCCTATCTAGAGGCCGAGCCAGCTGTACCCGCCCCCTCCCCCGTCCGATCCGCCAGTCAGCTCTGGCGGAGGGGGAATCCAGCCCCTCCCCTGTCACGGCAAAGAGCTGTGACAGGATCGAGAGGTGAGCAAACGCCGGTATGTGTTCGCTCACTTCCCGATCTACTGAGCTGACCTGTGACAGTCTCATTGTCACAGGTCGGCTAGAACTATAAGGTGAGTGAAAAGCACTCACCTCATAGTTCTCCTTTAACAATCATATTTGTGATCAAAGGGCATCCAGGAACTCATGTTTATCTAGCTTCACCATTTATAATACCATATTTACAGCCTTCTACCTGGCCTTACTGTTGATTGGGCAGGTCACTCTGCCATCTCAATTTCCAGGTTACCTCCACTATCTACTAAATAAAAAAATTACTAACACCCCAAATGCATAACATCCTAAACCCTACTGACTGTACCAACCACCCACTAAATTTAAAACTCACACCTTTTACACCTAGACACACAAAGGGAGGGGAAAAATAAGACCTCAAAAGGGAGGGATAATAACCCAGGTCAGGCGGATATGGTCAGGTGCCTCCAAAAAAAGACTTTAAATCTCCTCACTCTGCTTGTCCAGATAGATACGTATTAATGTTAGACCCATCTAGAAAGTCTATCCACATGCACTCCACATGCCCATAAATGCTGGATATCTGTCCTCCAGTCTTTTTATTTTTGACTTTTTTTCTTCAAATGAGTCTCCCTTGCTAGTATTATCAGTAGTATATTGCTGCAGAGCTGGTTCTTTTTACTAATTTCCTGACTCGCCTCATAGGAAATTTTAGAGATGTCACAGTATTTTGTAGCATCTCAGCATTAGGTGGCTTTATGCATTATAGGGCACTGAGATCTTTATAATGTGGTTTTAAGCTCATGAGTTGACTACAGTTATAAATTATGCTTATGAACATAACCCGTTGAAAGTAGCCACACATAAGCTGGCTATGCACATGAAGCTTCCATGATTTTTGTTCCCCATACATTTTACCATTTTGAGTGGTAAAAATATAAACAACACTAAGGGTTTATTTAAGGATACATGCAGTTTTCTTCTGTAGTGATTGTTGTAGCATTAGGCTGATTCCAATAGCATTAACAGAGTTGTGTCATTTTTTCCCTCCTTCACTTCTATGGAAACAGTGACCTTGCCAATGTACTTGTTGAAACAATTGACAAAATTTTCAAACGACTATGACACCACTCATGCTTCTCAGACATTCCTGCACTCGTACTGTAATCTTCTCCAGCATTGTAACATGAGCATGAAGCCATTTGTTACTGTAAAATTAAACTTCATATTAATTTACTGCTATCTGAATGAAAACTGTTGAATTGTTGCTATAGGTATGCACCGAAATTACATTTTTAGACCGATACTAAAAAATTTGTCAGGGCGAAACCAAAATAAAAAATATTTTTTTTTTAAACTTTACTCTTGGGGGCTCTGGGGAATTATCAGGGGTCTTAACAGACCCCTGATATTTCCCTTTTGAAATAGAAAAAGAGATTGAGGACACAAAGTGCTCCTGTCCATTCATAAACTGTGGATATAGTATGAGTTACTATGTCCACAATCATGAATAACCAGGAAGTGATGTAGAGCACTTCCTGTTCATTCATAATAGGGTAAACAGTAAACATACTATGCCCTCAATTATTTACACATAGTCAACGATCAGCTGATTCTCCATCCTGACTCCTTCGGCTGTCACAGGAGGCAGTGCGGGGAGGAGAGCTCAGCCTCCTGTGACACATTTGACAGCTGACTCCTCCCTGACCTGCCTGCTCAGCCTCCTGTGACAGCTGACACACCGCCCTGCACTGCTCTCTATACTGAGTCACCGCACAGCCTTCTCGGCCACCTGTGTCAGCTGTTTCCTCCCCGCTCTCCATCCTGGGTCTCTGCCTGTCACAGAAGGCAGAGTAGGGCGGTGTGGGTGGAGAGCACGGTCTCCTGTGACACACTGCTGACAGCGTTTTTCAAAGCAGTGCCCAGCGGGGAGGAGAGAAACTGGATGCACCACAATTTCGGACGAAAAATGGTACTTTCACCATTTTGCCCAATGCACCACTTTCGGGCGATATGTTCTTTGGACAAAATTTTGGTGTATCGATGTTATATTTATACAATTCATGTGCTGTTTGTAAAAAGGAAGTGAAAGTAACTAGCAGGATTAAAAACATGTATTTTATCATTAATGAAATGCTATAGACAAAAAAGTAATGCTACACATGCATAGACAAACTTAATAGGAAGTCTATTATTATAATTTTTTGGGTTTATAGACACTTTAATGTTGTTGATGTTTATCACCATATTATTCACTGTAAATGTTATTTTTGTAAAAAGTATACCAATGTAGACATTTTTTATTTTGTTCAGGTGGAACACAGAGGCTACCTCGTGCTGTTGGAGTAGCTGTAGCAAAGGAACTCATATTTTCTGCACGTGTCCTGGATGGTAATGAAGCCAAAGTCATCGGTTTGGTCAGCCACGTTGTAGAACAGAATGATGAGGGAGATGCAGCCTATAAAAGGGCTTTGGCTTTAGCACGGGAATTCACATCTCAGGTAATTATCCTAGAGAACAACTAAATCTAGAGATTTAGACATGAAGCAACATGACTCGAAAGAAGTGTCCAACAATTTACAGCGCTTGTATTGAGATCATGTAATGTTTTGACATTCTATTAGTGCGTTACATACACTTTACAGGGTACACCATCAAAATGTTTGCCATTACCTGAAAAAGGCTTTTTCTTTTACAATATTGTTCTGTATTATGATATAACTACAACAACAGTAGTAGAGTGCCATGAACAAAAGCACAGCTTGTGTTACAAACTATTTATGAAACAGGTGACCTGTGTTGTAGTCCCTTTACAGAACCATGTGCGTTTGCAATTCTTACTGTTTGTAGTCAATGTAACTAAAAAGAAGGCTATTTCTCAAGATTCATGTATTCCTCAAACGTACCTCTGTTTGTTGAAATGTGTCTTAATCACAAAGAATGCTTTTTGGGAAATACAGTGCAGCAAGCAGGTGTATGTATCGCTAGTACTAATGGCAGGCATGCATAAACTACTCATCTTGAAAGAACGAAGCCCATGATGATTTTGTACACCTGTATGGTCAAACCTGACAAACCTGGACAGTTGGCCCCAGGACAAACTGAGGTTGTGGAAGATAATTACATATTTCATTACTTACAAAGTTTTTACATATACAAAAGCATTCATACCAATAGATTTTGATCTGGTAGAATAGGTTGATCCTCTCTGTTTTTATGCCAGTAGGCCAACTAGCCCATACTGTTAAAACTCTTGAAAGTTATGTCACGGATCAAACAATTTTGTTTTGTTCATGGTGTCTCTTTATCGTGAGAAATTGGATCTGACAGTGTAAGGACTAGGTATGCAAATCTGGACGCTTTCAGAGCTGAAAAGGTAACTATACAGTAATAACTACAGTGATAGTTGCTGAAAGGGTAACTATACAGTAATAACTAAGGTGATAGTTGCTGAGTAATAACTAAGGTGATAGTTTAGGGTTTAAAATTTATCTAAACCCAAAAACTAAAGTGCAGCTTACCAGGTCTCCGGTTTTGTGGCTGCATTAGTTTTCAGGCTAAGAACATTTCAGCAAGTACAGAAAATACCTGTTGACCTTTCCATAAATGCTGTGTCCTTGTGATTTCCTGTGGGCTGAGAAGAAAGCAAAAAGAACCATATCTTTATTGTGTATCCTACTAGTCCCATCAATCCACCATGAAATGGAGATGGACAAAGGCAGATAGTCCAGCCTGTGTGTCAACATTTATTCACCCCTTACATAAAATGGAGAAATTAGTGCAGACCTAAGGAATGGGAGGTGTGCTATTCACAGGAGTATCAAGTGTAAATAAAGGAAAAAGGCCTGAAAAAAAGAAAACGAATGAAGCCATACCTAATGTGATATATAGATTTTTTGTTTTTGAGTTTAGATACGCTTCAAGTATCGGAAGGGAGGTTAAGAGTTAAGCTATAGTTTAAGGGTTCAATGTTGAGGGGTTAAAGGTTTCGGTATAGTTTAGGGGTTACATGTTGCAAGGGGGAAGTTAAGGGTTAAATCTCCTTCATAGTGGCTTTGTACATATTTTCCATATTTATTATGGTTAGGGCTTAAAAATACAAAAATACATTGAAAAATATTCTTACTTGGTTTATTCGATTAAATATGAAATATTGCATTTTAATATTTTGTGTTCTCCCTTTTACACCAGCAGGTACATCTCTAGTTCCCTTTTCACACGTTGAGCTTTACATCATTCTCACCTTTGCTGATTGAATAAATAATGAAGATTGAATTAATGCATGAATGAGTCATCAGAGCAAAGACTCAGCCTTTATAAGATAGATCATATCCAAAGTTTAACTCAGACAAACTGGAGCCTTAAAGCCAGCAGTGCTAGTTTTACTGCCTTTCTTAGCTAGCCCATAGTGTCACACACACAAGTAGAAGTTTAAAAACTTCAGCCCGTCAGCTACGGTGTAACTACAAATCCCACAAGGCATTGCCAGACTCTGCCACAGCATGACTTCCAGGGGCAGATCCATTATGGTATTTGTAGTTTCACTACAGCTGGATGTCCAGTGTTTTCCTACCTCTGCTTTAAAGTAATTATTTGGGTTAGAGTGGTTTTACATGGGTAGAATTATGGCATGTGTTGGGGAGGGGGTTGTTTAAGGCTACAATTACTCCCCTATGTTTTTATTTGGGGCAGTTGAAGTGCAGTGTATTTTAATAACATTTTACATGGATTATTATATAACCCTGTTGAAGAGGTCCTTTGCTGCAGATATATATGCAGAAAGCAGAATAGTAAAATGGATAGTGAAAAATACTTAACTGTTTTCGCAATTTTTCATCACCAACAAACACACACTGGGTTAATGGTACTAAAAACAATTGTGCCCACTTACCATGAGCTGAATGCTCTTATCGAACTGCTGGCTAGAAGCAGCTGTGCCTCATTTTTGTTTGATTGTCTTATGAAATTATCTTTGTTTTATATATTATGGTGCCCATACACTGTACGAGAATCACGAGAATCGTGCAGGGTATGGAAGGCGTGCGACCATTTCTACTGTACGGTCGCACGTCTTCTGTCGAACAAGCAGGCTTGAAAACCCGCCGAGAATCGTACGAGTTAGTGGGTTAGTGGCCTGCTTGTTCGACAACTGCCGAACGGGCCGGTGTGCGCATGCGCACACTGCCCATTTGCAGTGATCGGAAGCCCGCCCCTAATTGCGGTCTTTGGAAGCCCGTCCCTCAGCGGGGCGGGCTTTCGATGATCGCAAGTACGATCTGCCTGTCCAAGATGGGCAGATCGTACGAGCTTTTAATAAGCTTACGACCATCGCAAGACAAAAGTCTTAGATATTTTGAGTTTGTCTAGCAGATATATTGAGTTAGATATTGAGTTTGAGTTAGATATTGAGTTTGAGTTAGATATTTGAGTCTAGTTAGATATTTTGAGTTTGTCTAGCATTCTACATGTAACTTTTAGAAACTACATGAATTACACTACATAGAGGGCAGAGGAACACTGGCATCCAGTTACAAGATTTAATTTATTTTGGATTACATTTAACAATTCAATAGTCTGATGATTACATGTCTTTCTACCTGCATGGTGCTGCAAATTGCATTTTGAACTCTTACACATGTTTTAGTAAAAAAAAGCTGCTGCTTTTTGTGACTAGATTAATTTAATGATCAGGATACAACCTATGGGCAGGTTGGTAGCAACCCCAGTAACATAACCTTTTAAAATATACACACACACACACACACACGCCTGAGATGTAATACCCATTTTTATCTGATAAATGTAAAACTCAGGCTTGCAGAACATAGCCTCTTTTTTGTTAAAACAGCTTGTGGGGTGCTGAAGATTAATCCTTTCTTTTTACCACCAGAACTGGAGCTGTGTTGATTTGCCTGGAAAGCATTACATCCGGAACAAACAGATAGAGAACATACTGTACGCTCTCTGACATTTACTAATGCTCTTATCTCCATCAATTAGACAGCTAAATGTACCTAAATAAATGTAGAACGGGGACCATACAAGTATTATCTACTATGTTGAAACCCTTGTGTACTGCTGTGAAAAGCTGCCTATTTAACTCTTTCACCAGTACAGTTTGTGGCAGCATAGTTATAGGTCATAGGTAACTGAAATGCAGCTAAAGACTGTGTTTGCATGAATGAATGAATAAATAAAGCATAATAGAAGGGCTGGAATACTTCCAATTCCTGGAGAAAATGTTGCTTCAGACTTCATTTACTGCTAGGCACATACGTGTATGACTAGGCACTAGGTCAAACGATCTCTGCTGAATTGTATCATCAGACAGTCTGACCTCTAATTCTCCACTTCTACAATGGTCACATGACCAGATGTCAAGGCCTTCAAATGTATGACCAGTACTGATTATAATCTGGAGCAGTGTTTTCTCTAGGAAAGGTAAGTGTTTCAGACGAGACCAGATTGAGAACATTGGACAAGATACCTGCTTTGTTGATTTCACGAGATTGTGCAAAACTGAAAATGTTGATAAGCTGAATCAGTCAACAAGAAATAATACAGTGACAACAACACGAACAGTACGATTGTTATAAATAAAATAATATATTGAATAAATATGCTTTACCATAGAAGTTATGTTTTCAGCTCACTTGAATGAAGTGCACTTTTATGACTAGACCTAAAATTCACAGTAATTATAATATAGTTGTAGGGGAAAAAAAACATTACATCACTGGATTGCGTTTTATTTATGTAGGTCTGGGATATCACGCACATTTTTGCTGTACTTTCTGCGGTTTGAACCTAGTCTGTGCATTAGAGCAGGTTTTCATTTTAATCATACAGGACCAAAAGATTCACACATTCACTCGCACACACAGAAATATGCGCACACACAGAGCAAAACGCACACAGAGAAATACACCCCCCACATACACAAAAATACACGTATACAGAAATACACACACAAAATCCCCCCCCCCTCCATTCCCCAGAAATACACACACTCACACCTTCTTAAAATAAAATAGAGCCCCCTAACCTGCTTACATTTTTTGTTGAGAGGAGGCACATTCCCTGGTGGTCCAGTGTGGGATTATTATGGTCTGCAGCTTTGTAGACCTTACATTCCTTCTTTTCGTCCGATGCTCAGTGAAGGCTGTCCGAGTGCACAGCGCCCTGACTCTATGCTATGCTGTCTGCATCTGACAGAAATGAAGACCGTGTAGCTGCTCCGCCAAGTCAGGTACAGGGTCTGTGACTGCGTGCCTGACTTGTTAGCTGGGTGTGGGCCGCATGGTACCGGTCTTCGAGCTTTGAGACCTCTGCATTACAGTTTACAGCTGAGACAAAACTATTCTGAGCACCTTTTGTCATACCTTTTAAAGTTTTGACCTAGGCTTTGCATTCAAGTTGGAAACTTGTTATACCTTGGGAATGATTTTACTAAAAGATAAAAAGGATAAACTCTTGGGAATCTCTCTATGATATACCTACC